CACGACACCTTTCTCCCCTCTCAGGCACAGGTTTGTCTCTCTCTCCTCATGTAGTTGCTTCTCGTAGACTGTCTTGAGCTCCGTGATCTCGTGTTCTGCATCGTCCTCAATCTGATGCGTAATGGCCTCATGTTCTTGTCTTTGGCGGTCATTCTGAATGTGCAGCTGTGGGCACAACAGTCACATGACAGCCTCTATCAGAGCAGAGATTCAAACCAGGTTCCTCCCACATATGAATAGAGTTTCGTACCTACATCATGCTTTCCAGGTCAGACAGTATTTCAGGCAACCCAGTACTCATAATTAAAATTAACCCCCATTAAGGAAACTGTGAAAAAATATTGAGCGTAATGATCGCTGTTCTCTGTTTTTGCCCTGTGGGCCGTGGTTATAAGGATAATGTTAAAGTGAATCTTTCAGAAGTCAATTTTGAAGATGTGAACTGGTTTCAGTGGCATACACTTATGGTGGACACAGTAGTTGACTTTTGGGCCCATAAAAGCAGGGACTGTCAAGACCATCTGAATAACTATTAGCTTTTCAGGAAGCGTGATGCATCATACAGTTAGAACTGTAAAACATTTGCTCAATATATCAACAAAATATCAGGTTTCTGGGCCTGAAAACCATGATTTTCCTGTTGTACCATGTAATTGTTGGGATAGAATCTGAAAACAGTGCATATCATTCAGAATCACTGCAGTTGTTTAAATGTGTTGAAGATGGAAAGTGCGCTACCTCTTCTATCTGCGCATTCCGTTCCTGCAGTTGTGTCTCATACATCTGTACTGTTGATCTGAGTTCATCCTCCCTCTGGTGCGAAATTTCTGTCAGCTTCCTGCAACATAACAAATCAACTCTCTCTCTCACACCACTTATGAACTGGAATACCAACTTATTGAGTCAGCCATCCAGTGAAGAAATTGACTAACTCATGGCTTTGCCCCCTATTTTAAGTGTATGCATAGGTTTCATAGAATAAACTATTGTTTCTGTTGAGGAAGACAACAGACTGCTAGTGTAAAATATAACTAAAATATCAGAATCTTTGCGACGTGAGAGATATGGCAGCCTGTGCTGTTCAAACCTCTCGTACTCCTCCCTCATCTCGTTCCTCCTTGCCTCCAGCGACTCGTACTTGTCATACTCCACGATCAGCTTCTCAGTAAAATTTGCCTCCAGGGTTTGAATTGCCTGTTCATGTTCTGTCTTCATCCTGGAAATACCATCATTGATGCTGTTGACTTCTGTTGAGTGGTCTGACTCCATTTGCTGTGAACAAGGGTACCAACTTTCAGTCACTCCACTCACACACACTTTTGCAGTATCAAAGGTATTCATAGAGCGGTAGATTAATGTTTAGCTCAATGACGTAAAACTCTGTCGGTGATATTCCCAATTTGTTCCCCGCAATTATATCACTAAGTGTCACGGGTACCCAGTCAGTCTAATACCGCCATCACATCTCAACATTTTGCCAATGATTCTTACCTCATTCTTTCGTTTCAGCTCCTCAATGGCTTGGCAGTAGTTCTCGTTCACCTCCTTTGTCATCTGAGCATGCCTCATGTCACTCTTGTGCATGTTGTACTCATGTTCTGTCTCAAGCTCATGCATGCGTAGTGACAGATCCTTGATCATCTTAATCTTCTCCATGAGGTCCGCCTTGCTAATCAAGATATCTGTCGATGGCTTGAACTCACTGTCCATCGTCACTGTCTTGCCTGAAGAGCAAAATAGTTACACATTACTGGTAGGCACATCACTAGCGGACTAGAGATTGGCTGTCAACCTAAGTAAATGTCTAGTAACGGAGCCTGAAACATTGTGGTGTAGTGGCAGCGCTGTCTGAGCTTTACATTTTTTCTCGTCGGTCCCTCTGAATGTTGTGTGACTGCGTCCTTCCATGTTTTTGCCTGCTCATTCCTAATCCCCTTGTTTTGTGATGTTATATAAACTGTACCGTTAGAATATCATTTTTAAGTAAAAGCCCACAGTTGTAGGCTTCGAAGTCATGCTTTGCTAGCCATTGTCTGAACTATGTTTTAAAGCAGCTGATGTGGAATATGGGACCGCTGCCACAGCCGTGCCTGTACTCACCCTCAATGTCAGTCAGCTTCCAGATGCAGATGGACCCATCCATCGAGCAGGTGATTAGGGTCTGGTCATCATATGACAAGCACATCTGTAGACAGATTTGAATAATTGTGCCAAGCGCTACTTATCAAAGCAAACATTCACTTGCCATCTCAGAGCTGGGACATTAAAACTCATCACAGCAATCACAAAAGGATGGACCTGAATAGTCTGGTCTCCACATCATCATCATCATTTTCTGTGATAAATTTTAATATTATCGCCCTACTAAGCCAATGTCTATGAAGAGGTTTATTCTTTTAAGTTTCTCAAACCAAAATCTGCTTTATTTTGTGTTTCATGCATTTGTCGTACATGTTCTGCCCATCTCTTACTTGTTCATTTTACCTGAACAGTAACAGTCTGTGATGTGACATATTTTGTAATAAATTACTTGAACTGTGAAGGGCTGCAGCCCCATACTGGACCCCTAAACTGGCGATTTGCCCCTTATCATCTATTTAGCACATTCATGTGTGGGTTGTTTTGGGGGGGAACTTACCCTTGTGACAGGTTGGTTGTGTATGTTATATTCCATATACTGGACTGGATCCTGCAGGGGATATTGGACAGACAGCACACTACCGTTCTGAGTGGTGACGAACATCATTTGGTTTGAATGGGACAGCACAATGTAGTCCAGCTGATGTCCTGGTACAGTGACGGCTTGCACTATCTGGAATTCATACCACATTGCCTGTAGCTCTGAAGGACTTATCCACTTTGAATTTTCTTAATCTTTCCAACAAATTCCAGGACCTCTTTTTTTGTCAGTACTGTCTCACCGTTGATTCACTAACTTCCGTTATGCATCCATCACTGTCAGTGCCAAATGAGGTTTTGCCATCAGTAGTTACTGTGATACTGTTGAATGTGCGCTGCTTTGTGATGATTTCACCAACCCTTGTGCCGGATGGTACGTCCCATTCATATATGGCTCCCTCCACTCCGCAGGACACAAGCTTCAAGTCCCTGTGAGTCCAAACCAGTGACTTAACCTGCCAATCAAGATTACAGATTTTTTTCACGTCAGTGTACGACATTTTGGAAGTAACTGGCTTCACACTGGATGGCTGAAAATGAAGTCCTCGTAGTGAGGGTTCAGAATTGTTTTCATTTAGTTAGTTATTTAGTTTAGAAGTCACTAAACTGTAGTGGTCATTTACAACTCTCAGACCATTGAATGACTCAGATAAAAAGTTAGAAACTGAAATTAAACTAACTTAATTTCAGTTTTGTTAGTTGGATTTCCTCCGTACCAGATGTAATAGTTATGTTTCTGTGACATGGTCAGCACAGAGATTGCACCCATTGGATAGGGGGCTGGATGCGCCCCGGAGCTGGTCTGGACGTGATGGCGGCCAGGAATCTGACTACAAGCATTCTGCCCGTACCCGTTCACTGTGTTGCTCAGTTGGCGGTTCCTGTATGAAGTATCTTTCTTGTCAATTACCTTTCCATTGTGTCCCTTCAGGTTGTACAGTTTCTCAAATGACACAGATGAATACACATGGATGACGTTTCCATTGACTGCGGCAAACAAGTGTCCGTTGTTGCTGAAGCAGCACTCGCTGCATCCGTGGATGGGGAACTCACGGCACGGGTGAATATCATCTAGTGTGAGGACCATGAACCGCAGCTTGTCAGAGAAGCCAATCAGTGTGTAAAGACCTGTACAGAAGCAAACATTGTTCAGATCTTCAGAACAAATTTCTCTAAAACATATCTAAATATTATCCTCGTGCTTAGTTCTTTCAAGTCTTATATTTGCTTGAGCTTTACCAACCATAATTCTGTGTGTGTTTCTTGGTTCTTCCGTGCAGACTACTTGTTCTGTCCATCTCATTATTTAATTACCCTAATGTTGTTTACAATATGAATTATGAAACTTTTCATTATGAAAGTTTCTCATTTCTCCAGTCTCTTCTTCCTTCTTAGTTCCAAATTTCTTCTTAACACTTTGTTCTCAGATCCTGTTATCGTATGTTCTTCCCTTAATATGAGGGACTTACTTCATACCCATGCAAAATAGAATAAAATTTTAATCTTAAACATTTTAGGAAGCAGATGGGGTGATCATCAGTATTTTGAGCTGAGTGACATCAAGCTTTTCTTGAGAGTAACGTGTTCTTAAGATTTTAGATTTTCTGGGGCCTGGAACATTTCTTCTTTTTAAGTTAGTAGTACAAATATATTGTGAAAACAGGAGTTCAGACTGAGCAGTTTGCTGCTTACCTGTGGGGTGGATGGCCACTGAGAATATCTCGTCCTGGTACTGTTTTACGAGCTCCTGCGTCTCTGTCTCATAATTCCACACCCTGACTGTCCGGTCAAGCTGTCCACATGTCATGAACAGAGGTTTCCATGCACACATGGACAGACCCACCACAGGCCCATGGTGTAGCTGTTCACCCACCATCTTAAATGGGATTTCATGACCCTGCAACATCACAGATAGCCCAAGTAGACCTTATGGGAGTACAGGCTTGAGGATATTATTAAAATGTATCTTTGAGAAGCGGGTTGTTTGGACAGGATTCATTGGTGGTCTTTGGCATTACCAATGCTGTGCCTTGGGTTCTATTGCATTACCCAGAAACTAAGTTAGGGAGCTGGTCAGTCACCCAGACAATCAGTTATTTAGTCAGTCTCTAGATAAGAGATGTGTGTAGACCAAGAACAGGATGGTTGGCTAATATTGAGACACAGTAAAGCTGTCACTATTGAGCTGTACCTGCTTCATGTCGGGGTCCCAGAGCCACGCGGAGAACATCTGCGACCACGTGGTGGTGGCCAGCAGCCGGTCCTCTTGTGGGCTGATGCTCAGGCTTTTCACTATATTGAGGTCCCCCATATCTGCGGCTTGGGACTGCGGTTCTGGGATGAGGAACATATTCCTCTTCGTGTACTTGTCATTTGTCTCCTTTTCAAATAGGTGCACCATTCCAGAACCACAGGCAAATGCAAACCCTAGCAAGGGCAGACACTCTTTACAGGAAATCAATCTGTCATCAACAAACAGTTGTCCGTTCAGTACAATACAGGCTAGGAAATGTATGCAGGAATTTTCGTGATCGCCATAATTCGATTATGTATGGTGGTAGTTTAAAATTTATGCGTTTGGGATAGGATCTAGTGACATAATGTTCATACGAAGTGTGATGAAAATTCTTTAATTGGTTCTAGGGTTATTAGGGTTGATCATGAGACCATCAACTTACTTATCCTTAGAAAGGTAACAGAGTTGTCTCACCTTTTCTAAAGTTGATGAGTTCACGTACTGCCATCTGAGGGTGAGGCACCTGGTTTGTGGACTGCACAAGGTTCGTGGCTGATACTGAGACTGTAGCTGTGACCACAAGGAAATGTTGTTAGTACTATCGTCATGTGGCAGCCCCGTAAGAACATGAACAGACAAGAGAAGTCCAACATTTCAGAGAACATCTCTGTCTGCGTAGAATGACGATATGGTTGTTGGGGGGATGGGCTCTGGACATAAGTAGTTGATCAGACGGGTCCAGAATTGTGTCGAATGTTGAGCTTTGGTTAGCAGAAGGTTAGTTATTCAGTTGCAGATTACAATCTTTTGGAATTTAGTTACTCAGTAAACCAGGGCAATAGATTCAACTTGTGTTATTGGCTTGTGTGTGTATAAACAAATTTTAGCATGAAATTCCTTGTTACATAATATCTTAAACTGCTCACTTACTTCAACCCTCTTTAGAATTTTGTTTTAAAACACTTGTGATTTCTGCGCTTCCCTGATAGTAAGAGAGGAGCATACATGATCACTAGTTGTGTGGTGTTGTAATGTTTTGGAAACTTACAGCCCGGTCCTTTTCCAGGCTCCTGCAGCTTCATGTTTATGGTTGTCAGGTTCATTGCTTTGTAGACAGCTTTCAGCTTTCCACTGTCCACAAGCAGCAGGTTTCCATCACTTGTGCCCCCTATGACGCGATCAAATGACAGCCATGCCACGCTTGTGATGTTAAGTGAATCAGCCTTTGACCAGCCATACTGGCGCCAGGTCTTTTCTGATGCAGAAAGCAGTTGAAAGAGCTGTGGCCCAATGATGACAAGGACAGAGTTGTCTGTTGGGTTGCAGGCCACCTGGAAGCATAATGCAACACAGCTCAGTTTTAAGCTTCTCATACGCAATGTCTCTCCTTTCACCTGCCTATTTAACCTTTATCGTATGATAATAGGAGAATTAAATCATCATACTATGGGACTGCCAGCTGGACTTTAAGTCTGGGGTTAACAGAAGACAGCCTTCTTTGTACTCGCCTTTATGAGAACCCCGAATTTTGGGGTAAACAGTTTAGTGATATGATGGTTTGATGCAGGGTCAACTGGACAGCACGTGAAATGTGACAGTGAAGGTAAGACATCAAAAGCGGTTGATATTGTTTTGCCTCACGTTGGTCACTCACTGTAACTTATCCACAGTACAAGGTCTTCATGAGCAGTTATTTGTTTCTCAACTGATCAAGAAATTCCCTCTTTCTTTGAAACTTGAAGGATTAGCATCCTGAACAGAAAAGCCCATATTGTTCTTCTATTTTAGACTAATTCATGTCTTTGGTCCCTATTTCACTACTATCCATTTTAAAATTAACCTTCTTTGTGAATTCATCCCTTGAGCTTTTCTATCGAAAAATATCTGTGTGGTTCTTGTTATTCCCATGTGTCTTTCTCATCTTCCTTGATTTATTCATCCCAACACTTTTATGTCAAGAGTACGAATGTGAGATCTACTTGACATGTGAATAGAAATTACATTTTCTTGTGTATTATTCAACATAAAATACACAAAATAAGAATTCTTAAGATTAATATTAGAAATATAAAATTCTGTATTTCCATCAGTATCCAGTATGTTCCAAAACTACTTTGTGATTTTGAATTGAATTTAAAATTTGGTTATGGTAGGCCTGCACTAACAGTTGACATGCAAATTTCATTTTTGTCAAAACTGCTGTATTGCATAGAAATACACATTACAGATTTCCATATATATTTCATTATATAAGTATGACAGGAAACTTGTAAGTGAAATATAATGTAATGAGAAGAGCGTTCATGTCATCAAAAATATGCGGTTCACCTGAGTTGCTTGTCCCAGATTATTGGCCTTGACTGTGCTGTCTATTTTGCCTTTCTCCCACTGAAAGTACACCATGGTCCAGTCAGGGTCACCCAAAATGGCTGCCAGGAACTTCCCATCGAATGAGAATGACAGCGATACATACTCCTGTGCTGCCGTGTCATTCGCCTGGCCCAGAACTTTTTTCTTTTTCAGCGTGCTAAGTTCATAAATATATATACAAGGTCTCTCTCCTCTCTCTGCCACTGCTGCCACCTTTCTTTAAAACAAAAGGTTTTACATGTGCACCAACACATTTTATCAATGAGATTATTAACCTTTTATATATATCAGTGCTGTTGTTTTGTATGGGTGCGGAACTTGGTCTCTCACAGTAAGAAGAAACACACATTTGTTGCCATTGAGCAGCTGATGCTGAGTAACCATCACCTGCTCAATAGGGACCATAGTTTTTTTGTAGTTTGTTGTTTATTTAACATCACCTTTTGAATGAGGTGTCTGAACCATAGAAAGCTACACTACAGGATTCCAAACACCAAATATATGGTGCTGGGCAAACACAGAATTAAGAATTAAATTGCGAACAGTGGCAGTATGCAATCTGACAGGATCTTTCAAATGATACATATGTTTTCAAGGAGGAACAGCTGGAGTTGGGCTTACAGAATACATTGAAAAACCAAATCGATCTGTGAACTTTGGAACAAGCTTAAGAGGATCCGATCATTGTGGCACAGGAAGAAAAGATAAAATTACGATTGAATTTGCAATGTTTTGAGGCACTTCAATTACCTTGATGGACTCACACAGATGATACTGATAGGTTTCTGTTTTTCTGGAATTTTTATGTAGCGCTGGAGTTTTTGCGTGTAATTTTGAAGTATCAACATCCCACCTGCTGGATATAAAATTTCATTTTCTGAAATATACGAGGCATTGCCCTTGATGTCATTTTTCAAGCCATAGAAAGCCCGAGGATGAATTGTTGGTAAAGACATACAGCTGATTGTAGAAGTTGAATTAAGTAAATTGTTATACTTTTTAGAACAAAGTTAATATGTTCTTCTGTAGTATTTACCACCAATTTTTCGGTTAATGTGAAACTGCAGTTTATATAAAAGTTGTCTGTTGTATTTTTAAAATCATTTTAAATATGGTCGCCATTTATAAATAAACTTGTGGTATCTTAGCAACACGTAATGAATGTAATGTAAACTTAATGTAATGAAAACGTTGTGACGTTTTGAAGGCATATAATTGTTTGTAAAACTAAGATGTTTGAGAAATGTCAGTTAGTTTCTACATTACTTAAGAATGCTAACCTTCTGACGAGAAAAAAGAAGTATGGGGTTGAGGTTACAAGTGGAAATAATTTAAATAGTGTAAACATCAAAATTTGTATTATGAGTTGGCAGCACTGAAACATGAGAAGTCCATGCGGTGTTTGTGTCGATGTTTATATGTGTAACAAATTCTGCGTAAACGTTAATTTGCCCGATGAGTGATTGTGAATATTGTTTGAAGAAGGTCGGTGCTTCGTATCTGACGTGCAGTGAATGCAGTCGGAAGGTTCACCTTCGTTGCTTAAAGAGCGGCGGGGTCCCAGGAGGTTTACGTGGGGATGTGTTTTATAAATTTATATGCCATGATTGCAGCTTTTGGGACCATGAGGAATTCACAAGAGTTAGAATGCCGTGGTAAGTGTATTTGAAAACGAACTACACGCACCGATAACATTAGGCGTGAAGAACGATGTGAAGGGTCGTCGTGGTTTTACGTAGCGTGTGTTCTTCAGAACATCTTTTACGTCCCTTCAGTGATGTATAGAATAGAAAAAAATTGATCTACCTTCCATAGAACCTTTACAGGTCCAAGCGAAGGGCGTAGAACATGTCAGCATAAATACAGTATTTATTGCTAGCACAAATTCTAATTACATGGTTATGACAGTGATTTATAGTCAACTACAGTATTACCGCAGAAATAATTACACAAGAAAGCATACCTAGTATTGCTTACATACACTTATAATTGCTGAGAATTTTTTTATGAGGTATATTCTTCCATGGAGTCAGCATAAAGCAGGTCATTCTTCCCCCCATTCAATTTATAATGAATTTCCCTCCATTTTGTACAATATTAACTTCTCTCCTGAAGATGGAGATGGTAGGTTACTCTGAAGTATGGGATGCCCTTATTAATGTTGCACACTGTTACACTTCATAAAAAGAAGTGAGTTGTTGAGGGTGTCCACTGTGTGGATTTTAATGAGGAAAGCCATGTACATCTGTTTCAGTCAGTGCAAGCACACCATGTCAGCTTCATGTTACATTTTGGACATGTGCCATTTTTACTTTAGGTTCAGCCTCATCATCCTCGCACTGTACAACCTGCAGGGCCGTTCAGATGGGGTGAGTCGCCTTGGCTACTTCCACTGGAAGTTGCACATCTGTAACTTTATCGAGCGGCACTGGAACATTCTATTTGGGAGCAGCGTGTGAGTGCAGCTCATGACGCTGAACTTTCAAAGAGTTTCTTTACTTCTCTTCTCCTTGCCTGAACTCCCACATTTTGAAGTCTGTCATTCTTTCTTACTCAGTAAATTTGCCATATTCTCTGCCTTTTTTATTTGATTGATTGATTATGTTTTTCCATACACTTCTTCTGCCCAGATCATGCCATCTGTCATGTCTTCTGCTTTATGCTTCCTAAAACCTTCATTTTGGTTGCCATATTTATCTGCCCATAGAATAACCCCTCTTCACACTAGAATCTTTGAGCCAAAGTAATTTAACCTTGTGAGAGTTAATGATTCTACATCAACTACAAATGTTATTCATTATTATATGAGGTGGTGACATTTGGCTAGAGAGTGTTATCCTTTATCCTGTTTTACAGAAAAAGGAAACGTAGCTGGATGGGGACAATATCCGGGACCCTTTCCCACTACAGTCGCACTTACTTCCGTTCCGGTTCAGAAGACTTGCAAGAGCCTGGTTGGTGGACTTTGGCACAAAGCGTGGAACCCGAACTGGTGCTCCAGCAGCGTGAGTTTGTACACGTACCGCGTGGTCCTCTGTCGTTGCTCCTCCGCTCTGTCGCCCGAGTCTCCAGTGCTGGAACTGTTCCTACCCGGAACTTCACGGCTCTTACGATTTTAACTATTTTCAAATAATTTATCATGTACAGTTATACTACAGCCATGTTTCGGATTTTGATTTTGTGATGCGCTTGTACGTTCAATTTTACGTGTACTTAACTTTCAAATCAGTTTGTTTACTGGCATGTACAAGAATTCTTGTCTTATCCTTCAGCAAACTGACACCATCAAAAACAATTTGCTTTGTTTGGCCATTCAGTTCTAACCCTTCCTTATACTCTACGCCCTCTGCTTTTTCCCGTCGTTCTTCTCCTGAATCATTGTTTTACTGGTCTTCTTACGGGATGTTCTGCATGGTTCATATTACATTCTTGCATAATAAATCAAAATGTCTGTATGACTGACTGATACAGGATGAGAGTGGGATGGTTGATGTGCTTATGGTTTGCAGACTTGCATTTGATTGCTGAGAAGAAGAATAAGACTAAAAGGAAGGAGCAGGAGCCAGGTGCAGAGTGTCCCCCCTCCGCGTCAGAGCCGTCATCAGGTCCATCGCTTCTGGAGTCATCCTCTTACGCGGCTCACGTCTCAAACGAAGTAAGTCGCGTGATATGTAGCGTACATTGTATTGGAATTCTTGTGAGCATAGTTGATTAAATTGAAGTTCTGTAAGTCTCCAAGCAGCATTGTGTTTTAGGCATTGGTTCAACCTAATGGCATTTAAAATACCTGTAAGTATATAATTCAGCTGCTTTGGTCAGTTCCACAGACAGGCGCTGTTGGATAAGGTTGATTCAGTATCTTCTTGTTGGTTTTCTGCATGTAACTGGTAATTTTAAAAAGTAATTCTGTTGGCATCAAAACATTTGCATTTACTATTTGTAATGCTTTGATAGTTCATTTTAGGATCATACTACAAGACCCGTGTTTTATCACTGCTTTTCTTAAACATTTGACCAAATTTCTTCTCAATTTTTATGGCAGACAGACAGAACATGCTCCAACTCACCAGTGTTGCCAGTTGCTGCAAGATCTCACGCCCGTTACAGCTGCCGCTTGCGTACGAATCTCCAAGGTGAACTAAGGCTTTTGTATGATGTACGGTGTTGGCCAGTTTCAGACGCCGCCAGATGAGTCCAGCTTGTCGGCATATGATGACGCAAGCAGCATAGAGCTGAACAATGCAGGGTCGGAGCGAGAGACCGGCACGTCTTCCTCCAGCGGACGCGTGTCTGCCGTGGATACCAACCCGGGCTACTGCAGCAACTGGGCCTTCCTCAAGGTGAGAGGAATTATGAGGTCACGTGAGCTGGTCTGTGCAGTTCCCACTCATAAGATGGCCAGCAAAGGTGTCCAAGAGTTCAATTTTGATTTCAGTTGTTGAAACCTGCCGTTTCCGTGTACCAGAATCTGACTGTGTCTGTTTTGTCACATTCATGTCAGAATAATGCGTTCGATATTGATATAATTCACTCTTATTTGCGTCTCTTTTAATTTTCGTGCCAGCGTTTTTTTATACGTTCTCCTTACATTATCCAGAATTTCTTTTAACACAACATGTAAGCACTTGGCTTCATGTATCTTGAATAAATGAAAGTTGGGCGGGCAGTTAGCAACCCTAGCACCGCGACTCTGCGCATTCCTTTCTGTTGTTCAGCCCCCGAGCAGTCCTGTGCTTTGTATGAACTGCATTGTGCTTGTGATGGTCACTTAGTTTCATAAAGTGCATTCCCAGGTGATACATTTGCTATATTTGAGTAGAAAATTAAAGTTTTCGTATTAATTAATCAGTACTCTTCTGCCTATTAATATAGAAGTGCTGAATGAATGAACTCTACTCTTGCTGGTCTAAACCTTGTATTGTGACATCATTCCTTTTCCTTAGTGTGCATTTCACATTCCGTTCCGTCCCTCTCCCCCTCGGTATGTTGTGTTGGACGTGTTGACTCTCAAAATGGGACCTCTGCTGCTACTGCCATCTCTCCCCAGGCAAGTGACGACATGTATTCTCGCGCGTACGTGGAACCGAGCGAGACGCTGTCCGACTATCTGTTTGCAGACGAGGATGAAGAATGTTCAGATGTGGACGTGGACATCGAGGGTGTGGACATCTCCTGTGCTCCGTCTGAAGGCTTCAAGAATCTAGGGGACCTGTTACTAGCACAAGAGGTGAGATGCCAATGTGATGGCCTCTGATAGTGGTCCACATGTTCATGGGTGCCGCTTGTGGCAGCAGTGGACCAGTTTGGACCCAAAACATACTGAGAACTCTGTTGCATTAGCCAAGTACAGATTGACTGAAAATGTAATACAGAACTTACGGCTTGTTCACGTTTCCTCTGACGTTTTGCCGTTTGAACAGTCTGTATTACAAGGTTGTATGACGCTCATATTTATCGCAACCAGTGGATGGATTCTTGTGAATCTTTGGTACAGCTGTCACACCATTAGAGGCTGTCTCATTTTCATAGTTTCTAATTTCTTACCCTCCGTATTGCTAAGATCGTGGCTTTGCAAATTTCTGTGGGGCCAGTGAATTCCAGTGCCTCATAAAATTTATGCTTTAGCAGCTCTTTGAAAAATTCATGGCTTTTTTGTGGTCATATGTGTAAGTTACAAAAAAGAAATAATTGGTGGCCACAAATCTGGGTTGAGAAGACTCAATAGGTCCAGAATGTTTAAGAAACGTGGGACGACATGAAATGCTGTTTTCGTGACAAAATGTAGTTAGAAGGGAAAGGTTTTCTGACGAAGTGTCAGTGGTATAGCTTTTCTGTAACTCGTGTGTACCTCATCTTCACTGATTTTCAAAACACCCTCAGAATTAGTGATCTGGAGTCGGCCCTGCTTTGCAGACTGCCGTCGCTGTCAATAGTGCAGTTAATATGGATATGAAGATTGAACGTGTGGAGTCGGACCAACAAGAACAGGAAATGGTCGAGGAGGAGGAGGAGGAGGTTAGTGATGAGGATGGAGAGCTGAGGAGCACTCAGAAACCATCAGGAAGTCTGTTCACCATCACAAAGAGCACAGAGCAAGTCCTGACCATCGGCGATGTCTACAAGGACACAGACAAAAGGTGAATAATGCTTGAGAATGTGTGGAGCTTTCCACCATTTCTGCTCTGTGCTTTTATGGTCGGTGGGTAAATTGGGCTCGTGTGATTTGCAGGTGCCTGCCAATGAGCGAGTATGA